ACATGTCTCCTATCCGATGTTTTTCCGGATACGTTGCTCTTTCTGACGTTTTTTCAGTTTTGAGTTCATGATCTGATGTTCTTCCATACATATCTTCAAACTTCTCTCGTCCGTTTAGCGTTTCCCTAAATGTTTCGGGTATACCTTCAAAGACTTTGGCTTCATCTCATGCCCTCATAGATGTTGTCATGTTATGCAACCCAGCATTCATTCGATGTTCTTCCGATTGTCTTTGATATTAATCTCTGTTCCCCCGAGTTCATTCGACGTTCTTCCGAGTGTCTTGGTGGTGTTTCAGAGTTTATTCGACGTTCTTCCGAGTATCTCTGTTGTGTTTCAAAGTTCATTCGATGTTCTTCCGAGTGTCTTTGACGTCTGTTTCTATCTTTCAGAGTTTATTCGATGTTCTTCTGAATATCCTCGTTATCTTTTAGAATTCTTTTGATGTTCTTCCGATTAGTTCTGATGTTTGTTTATCCTGGTATTTATTTTCCGATGATTCCTGAAGATCCTGCTCGATCTCTTCGTTTAAAGGAACGTCCCGAAAACTCTAGTTCCTGTCGTTTACCTGGTCCTACCGCCGTATGGATCCTATGTTACCTTGTCACTACCGCGAGTCTTCTTCCCCAGTGCATTTCCTCGTTGCGCCGTCCCCTGTGACGTTGTTTCGTCTGCATCCGTGCATTTTTTCATTTTCATCATACGCATCATATTAGATTCATGGCATTGTCAGCATTATAGTTCGTGTTATTTTGTCCATATCATTGCATATCACTGCATCTAGGAGCCAAATTTTCGGTTATCTATATTTAAATCCCTTTCACCGCGATTTCTCGAGTCTCCGCTGCTCAAATCATTCGGTGAAGCTATTTAAATAGGGGCATCTGTTGCACCCCAAATTTGTCCTACCTTTACATAGTTTTTAGTGCCACTTTATTTCGAATGAATAAAATGGCACAATTGGCAAGAGACCGTGTGTAAGTAGTTGTGAGTGTGAGAGGTCGAGAGTTCGAATCCCACCTTCTTCACTTTTTGTTTTTCTTTTATTTTTATTCTAAGTTTTCTATTTTCATTTAAGTTGGGCTTTAAAGTGGGCATTAGGTTAGAGTTAACCCTAATTTGTTACCTATATAAACACGAGTTGCATTTGAGAAAAAGGGGAGAGCACACAAAAGGAAAAACGGCGGTCGTTCTCACGACTTATCAGAAGAGGAAAGTGTCAGCAAATCCACCAAACAGTGCAAAACCACCGCGAACCGCTTCGAACCCCGAACAAGGTGAGCAGTTCTTTTTGTCAATAACAAAGTTTTTCTGTTGTTTTCAGGTGGAACAAACCGAAGAAGAAGGAGAGAAATCGTTTCCGGCCATGCAAGAATGGAGCAAAGCTCAAAGGAGCTGCAACGACGTCGCCACCGTGATGAAGAAGAAGATGGGGTTTCTAAAAACCTAAAGATTGAAATGCTTCGGCGTGAAGCCTACTTTTCCCCTTATATTTTTTATTTTTCCCTTTTTTTTATTTTTCTTATTATTATTATTATTCTGATTTTCTTTAAATTGCAATTATGTCATAATAAATGGTTAGTTTAATTAAAAAATATTTGCTAGTTAAACCTTGTTTTAAAACTCTATTCTTATAATATAAAAAATTAAAACTAAAACTTATTTTTTTAAAAAAATTTAAATTGAATCCTTTTTCAAAAAAATTAAAACTAAAACATTTTTATTAAAAACCATTGTTTCAAAATTAAGATTAAATTTCTTTTTTCAGAAATTAAAAATAAAGTTTTTCAAAATTAATAAAATAATAAATTTCCCAATTGCCTTTTCTTTCTTTCATTATTAATTAATTACTTTATTATTTGTCATTGATTTCCGCCTAACTTTTTTTTCACTAACGTTCTCTATTTGTTTTCCGCTAGGTTTTAGTCGGTCTCCGATTATTATTAATTAAATATTTTGTTATCATATTTATAATTTCTTCCATGGATGTAATTTACGCGAGGCCATGGTCGCGGTTTATTTTATTTTGCATTTTTTGGGGATTTGTAATTTACGCGAGTGATCGTCGCGACGCTTTTTTTACTTTCTGCACTTTATTTCTGCCATATAATATTTTGCCATGTTTTGCATGATTTAGCGTTATGTTCCTTCCGAAGGATTAGGTCTAGCCGTTTGACCGCCGAGTCAATAATCCTAACGTTTGACCATTTCAAAACCCTAATCGCCTAGGTGTCCCGCCGTGGACGAAAATACCCTTTACCCTAGCATTAGGTCAAAGAGTCGTCGTACTCTATTTTAGGGTTTCCCGCCGTGGAATATTTAATTTAAACCTAATTTCAATTAACAATTTCAACGTAGAAATAGGAGTTTCAAGACTCCACGTAGGCGCTTCCCTATGAACGCTTACTCCCCATTGAAACCTTGATCACAGTCAAGAAGTTTCTAACCTCCCTTTCGAGGGGAACTACAATTACTCTGATTCCATTCCCGTCAGGATATGTAGGCACAAGATGCGATGTCTTGCCGAGTAAACTTAGGACTAACCCTTAGGTCTTTTAGGTCACTCTATCCATTAGCAATATATTTCAAACAGATAATAAAATAAAAAAGCATACAATAAACAAAAGGTTCCTGTAGAGTACTACAGAAGTTTAGGGTGCTAGTACCTTCCCTAAGCTTAACCAACCCCTTACCTAGATCTCTTCCTGCATTGTCTTTACGATGCAAAATTAGGTTTTCCTCTTTTGACATTTTCCTTCGGATAAATCAAAGAGCGGTTGTGAACTAAAGATGCGATTCAAATTAATTAATAATTTGATATCATATTCTAACCGCAACACCTAATATACCATAGGCTACACTTGTGCGAAGCAAACATGATCAGTGGCTTCAGTGTCCAAAATGAAGGATGCATGATGAAATGATGTAGGGATTGTGCAGATAATACCTAAGCCAAGTTCAAATTATGAGGTAATGTGGTTAATGTTATGGGACTGTAATTGTGATGATCCTTGAAGTAAAGCTAACAAAGCTTTGTGCTACTCTAGAGTAAAGCCAAACCAAGAGATGCTTATGGGTTTGCATCAACAAACTCACTTGAATTGTCCTCTTATTTATCAGATGTAACATTACATTGATTGATCACACCATGTTGCCTCCAATGAGGGGGATATCCATGCTTCTTAAAACAAGTATCAATTGTATGGTTGGTCATGCCACATTTAGTGCATACTCGATTTCCTCTACCTCTGCCACTAGGATATCTCCCACCTCTATTGCTGCCTCGACCATGAAAATTGGAATAAGATTTGGACTGAGAATTTTGTGTAGATTGAGTGAAAATAGGATCAACTAATATTTTAGATTCATCAAGGGGCAAGGTGGCTTGTCTTTCTTGTTGAATAAGCGACGAGTAAACTTTGCAAATGTTTGGGAGAGGATCCGTTAACATAATCTGAGAACGAATAACTAAATATTGGTCATTCAAATCTTCCAAAAAACAAATGACTTGATCAATTTCTTTGTATGCACGAATCTTGGTGATAGCAAGGCATGTGGAGTCACAATCACATTTAGGAATTGGTCTAAAGTTGTCCAATTCTTGCCACAGAATTTTCAAATTGGTGTAATAAGAAGAAACAGAAGTATCATCTTGCTTCAATATGCATATTTCTTCTTGGATATCTGAAATACGAAATACATCTCCTTAATAGAATCACTCTTTTAATTCATTCCACACGTCAGCTGCATTATCCATCCAAAGAATGCTTTGAGGAATTTCAGCCTTCACATCATTCTTGATCCATGACATTATCACGGTGTTACATCTGTCCCAAACGACTAAGTTAGCATCAAGGTCAGATGATCATGGCAAGAGTCAATTGATGAAGTGTAACTTGTTTTTGGAACGTAAAACGATGGTCATCGAACGAGACCAAGAGTGATAATTATTGTTAGAAAGTAAGGGAGTAACAAGGATCAAAGCAGGATTTTCATTAGGGTGTCTAAAGTAAGGGTTAAAGGTATTAGTTTGATAACCTTTGTTGTTGTTTCTTGAGGCTGTTTCACCATTGATGCTACCATTAGAGCTTGACGATGGCATGATGAAAGCAAAAGCAGTTAGAAGATGAAAAGACCAAGGAAAAACGAAAAAGAAAAGAAATTGAAAGGAAAGTTGAGGAGCAGAAAAATACAGTGGATAAAAGATAGAATATCACAGGACTATGATACCATGTAAACATGCAAGATTAAAGTGAAACTCCATTGATAAACATGAAATGGAGAAGTTTCTTGGAGAAGAGTAAAGTGAAATTTGCATGTGTAAAGGAAGAATGTTATTACTCAATCTTGTTTTGATACAATCATGATACAAATATATATAGTTGGGTAATGATTAAGGCTAGTAACTAATTGTCCATAACAACTTGTAACTAACTTCTAAAGTTAGTTAACATGAGAAAAAATGGTTATTACATGTCATCATGCTTAGTGTATAGACTATCATCTACATCATCTTTTAAATTTACACGTGTATCTAAATACATTTTATATCTTATCAAATTGGATCATATTTGATAGCGGTGAAGACAACTAACTTTCCATTTCACAAGTTATTAGTAGACCAATATCTATTTTATTTTAATAAACAATTGTCTTTATTTAAGAGATAAAATATTTATTTTTCAAATTCATCTCACAAATTTCTTTTTTATTTTTATATGATTATTTAATACAATTAACTTTATATAATTATTTTATTTTATAATTAACTAATTCATTATAAATTCATCTTTACAACGAAATACATTTAATATGATATCAAATTTGATAATATTTCATAATCGTCAAAAAAAAATTATTTCAAGAGTACATATAATATTCATTTTATTTAGTTTAAATTCATTTTACATCGTACAAAATATATGTATATCTAGCTAGTTTTTCGAAAAATAATAGTAACATTGGAAATTGAGAGAATCTAGTTTGATAATATCCAAACAATGGCTTCTGGAGGCGAGCACACACATGACCATGACCACAAGCACGACGGTTCATTTGTAGGCGCCGACGGTAAAGTCTACCACAGCCACGACGGTCTTGCACCGCATTCTCACGAACCAATCTACTCACCCGGATTCTTCAGCAGAAGAGCTCAACCTCTTATCAACAGAGACTTCAATGAAAGAGCTTTCACCGTCGGCATTGGTGGACCCGTCGGTACTGGCAAAACCGCTTTGATGTTAGCCCTATGTCAAAACCTAAGGGATCGTTACAGTCTCGCTGCAGTCACGAATGATATTTTTACGAAAGAAGATGGCGAGTTTTTGGTCAAACACAAAGCACTTCCGGAAGAAAGGATTCGTGCTGTTGAAACTGGTGGGTGTCCTCATGCTGCGATTCGTGAGGATATTAGTATCAATCTTGGTCCGCTTGAAGAACTTTCGAATCTTTATAAAGCTGATCTACTTCTATGTGAATCTGGAGGAGGTATTATTAGTAGTATTAATCACTTCGTCAGGGATTTTAGTTGCTTAATGTGTTTCAAATTCAGTTAGAATAATTGTTTTTAGTATCTTATCCACTGAGTGAATAGTCATGTTTGGTTTCACGTTTGGAGCATTTTTGGAGGTGTAAAATTGATTTTGATATGTTTGGTTGCTCTCGAGAGAATTGATTATGCTTTCAAGAATTGATTCTATCTAGTAATTGTAGCTTTTGAGTCTATATGTCGTTGTTCAACTCACTAGTTGAAAATTTATCCAAAGATAAATCACTTTATCTTCAACTTATTTTTAGACAGAATCAATTTTAAAGGATCAATTCACTCAAAATCAATCATCCTCACTGCAGACTATCGACATCATCCAAAAAATTTGTCTCTTAAATTTACCAAGATGATGACTTTGTTTTTGTCTGACCAAAGGTAAGTAAAGTCTGACCGAAGATTGTTTTAGCCTGGATTCGATCCCGGGTTCTTCAGAACATTCGTTCTTCGCTTAAGCTCAACGAAAATAATGCATGAAATTGGAAAAACTTTGATTATATTAGTTTTTTTGAATCTGTCAGTTTAGTTCTTGAAATTCCTGTGGACGGACTAATTTGATCTAACGATTTTTAGTTTTAGATGACATTTTATTGATTTAATAGACTAAATTGTCTGACGCCTAAAATTTCAGGGATTAAGTCGATTTAGTGACTCTATGTAGTTATATTTATATGAGTTTGATACCAAAAAGTTTGGATGTTGACTTGAGTTTTTGTGCAGATAACTTGGCTGCTAATTTCAGCAGGGAACTGGCTGACTATATTATTTACATCATAGATGTATCTGGTGGTGATAAAATTCCCCGGAAAGGTGGTCCGGGAATCACACAGGCTGATCTCCTTGTAAGTGCTATATGCTGCACATAATTGTCTGTGCCACTCATATTGATATATGCAACTAATTGCACTTGATTCCAGGTGATTAACAAGACTGATCTTGCACAAGCAATTGGGGCTGACTTGGGTGTCATGCAGCGCGATGCTCTTAGGATGAGAGACGGCGGGCCATTTGTATTTGCTCAGGTTAGTTAACAAAAATTTCTAGTGTTTCTTGCATCTTTTGTGGCTTTGAATATACGCGGGAAAACTCGGATTCTCCGCAGTCAGGAAATCTGTCAGTCACACAGTAAGCACATCAAGAGTTGTTTGATTAAAGATATGATGGTATCAATCACTTGACGGAGAATACCTCAATGTAGGGAATCCAATTTCTAGGTTAACACCATATCAACACTGTCGAGTCATCTAAACTCTTGCATTTACTTCTGCAAAAGTAAACACAAAAGTTCATATATTCTACTTAGAGAAATATACTTATTTATGCGCACAAATATCCAGGATTGTTTGATGGTTCACCAAATAGCTAAGTAGTCGCCTTAAGCATTTTTTTTCATCAAACACTAGTATGTTGGATTTAATCGGGCTGGCATGTATATTAGGTTTTTAGCTTCGTCTTCGAATTAATTTCATTCTTCTTTTGCTCCATATTAATAGTTGAGTAAAAAAGAACTGGTACAAATAATCAATTTAGAAGAGAAGTAATTCCTCCCAAGAATATTAAAACAAAGTAAATTACACTCTGTCTTAGTGACTTAGTCTCTTGTTGGAATTGCTTATTTTTTATTGTTTAAACAACTGAATTGTTCACAAACAACTGTCATCGATCCACAATTCGTATTTGTACCAATACATACAACAGCAACAACAACAATCATGCCTTATCACACTAAGTGAGGTCGGATACATGAATCAAAATATGCCATAATGTTCTATCAAATACGTATCCGAGAAAATTGATTCATAGATTAATTGATGAATATGTTGTATAGTGAATCTTAGATTTGTTTTCTGAATAGGAAATAAGTCGGCAAAGGTGTCAATGAGTATTTATAATGGCAAGGGTGTGAGGAATTGGATTTATAATTGAAACATGGCTATATAGCATTGAATGTGTGTGCGTGTTATGTGTGTGTTTATCTCATTTTATTCATAGAAGTGCGTCAAAGTTTATATGAAGCAGTTCAAATGACCTGTCTTGTATTTCGAATGACCATAGCCCGTCATTTTTTCACTTCTCTTAAGTTTACTTTATTTCGACATCAATGTGCAGGTGAAGCACAATGTTGGGGTGGAAGAAATTGTGAATCATGTCTTACAGGCATGGGAGGCAACTACTGGGAAGAAACGTCGTTGACTTGTTTTTGAAAAACGGTGTTAGATTCAGATTAGTCAGCAGGAATGATATCTAAGAAAGCTGGTAGCTCGAGCAAGGAGAGGAGAGGAGCGGAGCCTAGCCTAGCCCAGCCCGCCGTCTTTTCATTAATGTTAAGTATCTATTTTGCGAATCACCTTGGACCTAATCAATGTGTGTGAGTATCTACTATGGCTATGGCTTGGCTACTATGCCAAATAACTGATTTCATTCATGTTAGGCAAATTGACATCTAGTTCTCTGAATAAATTAATGGCATACATGAATGTTGTGTTTGATGTGCAATGCTAATCCAATATATTTAATATTTGTCCCCAAAAGTGGGGTAATTACTGGTTTTGGTCCCTAAAACTATATGTCAACTTTTTGTCTCTCTGTTAAGAAAATGATCACAGTTGGTTCCTCACAGTTATTAAAAAAAGGGAGATAATTTTTTAGAAAAGAGGGAGTAAACATACTTGACTATTGGTGTTAAGTCATACATAAAATATCTAACATTATACTGTATAGGTTTTTTTATTAACGTAACTCTAACATTATATTTCATCATCATCAAGAGATGTTGATGATGTTTCAACATCTTTATAATATCGTCGATCATTATCACAATCGTCACATCCACCTTGATCAGACTTTTGTTTTGTAACGGTGAAATGTACTCTACACAATTGTTAAGTCTTCATCTGTCTTCAGTTCAAATTTGTTGAACTGTATTTTCCCTTCGTTGTCCATTGAAGGCGAACAATGAAGTTTCACAACTCTTTGATTATTTGGGTATTGCAAGATAAACTCTAGTGTGAGTTTCAGATCAACAAGACGGGAGATCCCTGTGAATATAAATTCAAGAGAGTGTCTCTTGCTGTTAAAGTAGACAAAAGCAAGATAAGAATATTGAGAGATTTTGTGGTGTGCTAGTTAACAACAACATCAGAGACAACCATATTTATAGATGTTTAGATCAATAATGACCTTAAAAATTCAATCTTATTTTAAAGGATATTTTGGAACTTAAATTCCAAAAAAGACTCATTTATATTTACAAAAATTCAAGAAAATGGTTGGTCTGGAACTTAAATTCCAGATTTATTCTTGTTAGCAGTGTTTTGCATAAACAATTTTACTTTAATGTTTTATTCACAAATAATTTTTTTTCGTTGACATAGAAAACTTTACAACTAATATTTATATGATTAATGTCGGATATACATTAAAAAATATCAAAATGTATTCATATTATATCGTTGACAATAACAATTCAACACTACATATAAAAAATGATGTTTGAACCTAAATACATTGTTAGATAATGATCTTATCAAACGGTCAGAATTTGAGATGGGTCAATGACAAGCTGTTGCACCCCAAAATTTGACCAACCGGGGCTCGTATCTGGCTCGATGTTTCGACGCATAACCGCATTCGCATCTGCATATTGCATACATTACATTTTTCATTTGTATTGATTTTATCAGGGATCACAGCTCTCGTCTCGTGTTTCGGGCGTTTTTTATCAGTTCGGTGCTTATTTTGTCCCTCTGGGAATTATTGTGATTTTTCTGGATTTTATTAGCATTTTTTTAGGGTTTTAAATAGATTTTAAATCATATATAGAATTTTATAGAAATAATTAGCTTTTTAATCATTTGTAGAATTTAATAGGTTTTTTAATTCTTTTTAAATAGATTTTAATATTTTTAAATAATATAGAATAGTTTTGTTAATAGAAATTAATTGTTTTTAATTTTAGAGGTAGAATAATGATAAATTTTTTCCTTTCATTAATAAATAGAGTTTTCTTTTATAGAAATAATAAATAATTGGATTTTTCATAAATAGATTTTTCTTCTTTTATAGAATTTAAATAATAGTCTTTCTAGAATTTAATATAGGTTTTATTAGGATTTTATTAATTAGATTTTTAATATTAGTTTTAATTCAGTTTAGCCATGTTAATACAGTTTTTGGGGTTTGTTGTATTTTTTCGTGTGGGCCATTTTTAATTCGCAGGCCCAATGCAGTTTTTGTCCAAGTTTGGTCCAGAATTTTCAGCAAAAATAGTCCAAAAAACGTCCAGAATGATCCAGCTAACTCCAGCACCGTCCAGAATCTTCTGGAAGCTTCCAGATTTCTCAAGCCTTTAAATAGCAAGCTGGACACGTGTTGAAGAAGAGGCTGGCCCCCTCTGCCACGATCTCAACACGCCACGCCAAGCCAGTACGTGGCAATCATGCAGCAAGCTCCTCCACTGACGCAGCCACGCGTCACCCTCTGAGGGCTCCCCTGTTGCATGGCCGGCGGCCATGCAGCCGCCGCGCCTGAATCACTCCGGCCACCACCCATCCCAGAAACCGCCACCTGCACATTCATCCCTTGATCTTCATCTTCTTCCCCTCGTCTCCACCACCAAATCCAGATTCTGATCACCAGAAACGTCCAAATTCCAGATTCAACCTTCAACAACCTCCAAACGCCCAGAAACCACCGCCGTTTCCAGAATCCGGCCACCGTCGTCCTCTCCAAAAACTCATCGGAAACGATGAACATTCATCGTCAAGCTTCAACTACATTCATATGATTCCCAGATCCCGTTCAAGATCGTCAAGAAGATCCACGGGTGTTCTTCGTTTCCCAGAAGTGGATCCATGAACTCCATCAAATGTTCACGTGACTTTCTTTCCAGATCGTCTTCAGAATCACCAAATGTCTCCAAAAGATCTTCATCACTCCAAGAACGCGTCTCCAGAAGAAACACGCAGCAATCATCAACATGAAACCACCACTCAACCGATCCTCAACGACCACCATTGATGATTCACGAGATCCTTTCAACATCAACAACACAAGAAGTATCTTCAGAGAAAATCACCAATCGCGCGTGTATCAAGAGTCATTCCCAGAAAACTTCCAACATCATGTTCATCACCTATCAACGATCTTCATCTTGTTTCCAGAAGAACAACGCTCAACCGCCATCAGATCAAGAACACCTTCAACGCGTTTCCAGATTGCTCCTTCGACCAACCACAATCATCATCCTCCAAACATCATCGAACCATACATCAACGAAGAACGCTCCATGAACTCCAAGAACTCCTTGTTCAAACAGAACTTCAAGAGCATGCAAGGTCATCAAACGCGTCCGTCATGGAGGTCGTTATCTCCAGATTTACTTGAGTCACTCTTAGAAGTTTGGGGAAATTGGAATTGGAAATATGGAGGAAGCTGGAGTTTGATGTGTCTGTGGTGATACTGCATTCCTCGTTATGGTGAAGACTGTGAACGGAGAAGGAGAAGAAGGGAAGGTTGGTTGGCGGCGGCGCTGAAGGAGAAGAGAGAAGAGGGATTCTAGGGTTTCAGACCCTGAGAGTGAAGGGAAGGTGGGTTAGGGGAGATTGGGCTTCAGGCCCAATTCCATTTTTTGACATACACCCTTTCGTTTTTTTGGCTGAAGGAAGTGGGCTGGGCCCAAACGCCAATGAAGCTAACCACTGGCCAGACACCCTCAGTTCTACACACCCCCTCCGTGTTTGTTGAAGGGATCTGGGCTGGGCCCAATTCCTTTGCTTTGTTTGTTTTTTCTTGCTTAAACCCTTGTAAACCATCATGTACCCCCCTCCCTTGGTATTTTGTTTTTTATTTTGTTTAGAATGAAAAAATATTAAAAGAAAGAGAAAATACATTTGAAAAAATAGAAAAAAGAACAATAAAAGAAAAGAAAATAGAAAAAAGAATTGAATTGAAAAGGAAAATATGGAGAAAATATTCAAAAAGAAATAGAGAAAAGAAAATGTTGAGAAAAATAGTGAGAAAATATATGTGAAAAAATAGAGAAAATATTTTGAGAAAAAGAGAAAAATATGTTGAAGGGAAAAGAAGGAAAAGGAAAAAATATTAAAGTGTCGATTTAATATTTTCAGAGTTCATTTTCTTTAGGTATATTTCCATAGAGTATATTTTCCGCTTTTAGGATAGCTTAGAAGCCCATTTGTTAGGGGGCTATTTTCATTCGATTTTTAAGATAGAATAAGATAGCGTTTCCTAGGAGATTTATTTTCAGTATCCACTCATTGTAATCATTTTTCCAGATATTAATAAAACGAGATTTGAGCTGTGGTCCGATAGTAGCCGAACTACAGCTGCTCTGATTTCTCGTACCAGACGAGAATATGTAGGCATAGGATGCGATATCCTAGCGAGCACACTAACGACTAACTTTTGTTCTCTCGCGGCTGTGCGATCGAGACTTTCCCGCTGACGACTAATTGAGTACCCTTTTTCTCTCTTGCCCGAGTGCATTTGAGACTCAGCCATAGTTTTTCCCATAGGTTCCCGACCCTGTGAAACCAGTTGTTTTTCTCACTGCTGTGTGAGAATGTTTGTTTAGCCGTAGTTAGTCTGAACTACGTAAAGCTCTGATCTTCCATCCAGTGGAAGTACGTAGGCACAAGACGCGAGGTCTTGGCGAGCCAATTTTCCCCGTAGTCCCGAACTACGTTGACTCTGACTTTCTCCCTTGAGAATACGTAGGCATAGAGTGCGACGCTCTATCGAGTCAATTCCCTTCTGTTTAGATTTAGCAGCCGTAGATAGATTGTTTTGCATCCAGTAGACAACCCAAGCAAGCGTGGATCCCGTCGAGTACGACGGACGTGAGGGGTGCTAATACCTTCCCCTTGCGTAACCGACTCCCGAACCCAGGCTATGGTTGCGATGACCATACCTTTTCTCCGTTTTTTGCGAGGTTTACTTCGAGCGTTTCCTTTCCCGCTCTGAGGGATAAATAACGCACGGTGGCGACTCTTCTGTCAGCCGGCGCCGATTTTCGCAGTAGCGACAGCTGGCGACTCTGCTGGGGACTGCGATAGTTCCCCATGCATGTGGGATCCAACGTCCCCTAAGAGAGAGTCAATCCTAGCGCTTGTTTGCTTGTCTATTTGGGCTTATTTATCGATATTATCTGTTGCTGTGGGGTGTTACGGGTG